ACCCTGATAGCATATACATGCTAACTTCTGAGTAAGCTTTTGATTATGAGAAATTAAAAAGTAGAGAGATGGTAAAGTACTAAAGTAGATATACATATATTTCTCTCTACGTGTGTGTGTGTGTGTGTGTGTGTGTGAGAGAGAGAGAGAGAGAGAGAGAGAGAGAGAGAGATTGGTTCAGATTCTGCCTGACCAGTGAATTGATGGCCAGTCAACCAATTCTACCTAAACACGACATTACCCAAACAATTGGCACCCACCACTTGGATCCACTATTTGCCCGTGCTTCAGCACTCTTCATATGATGATTTTAGCCTAAGCCCCCATAAAAACTGTAAAGAATTTTTAGATAATTAAAAAACTGTATGCAGATTGAGTGTTTGAAAAGCTAAGAATATAAATGCTGATGTATTCGCTGCACTAAGTAGATCTGATACTTTTAGTAGAAATTCTTTTCATATATAATCAGCTTTCCTTCGGTCATCACTCCAATTCATTCCACGTATGGAAAGAATAGGTGATGGCAAAATATATGTAGCCAACCACTTTGAACCCATGACCAATTTCCTGTGGGTATGTGTGGCATTAATTATTAGCTTTTCAATTTATGATTAAAGTATTCTACCATATATTAGGCATTAATTCTACAACATATGAGCCAAAACAATTCATGTATGGTAGGGTAGACTAGAGCCAGAGTTTGGGATTAGGGCATCCAATTTTTTTTAATTTCTGGCTGAAATTACACTGTAAATTCAGCTCCTTCCATTTATGTAATGTCTTCTTTTTCATCAATATAATTAGTGGTTTTTAAAATTAGTAGTTTAGTACGTAGCAATATTTTATTAATTGATATATGAATTATATGATCGCCCACCCATTTTGTGGTAAAGTATCTCCAAGTTCAAAGCCAATCTATTTAAATATAATCACCGGAATGGAGTTCTCTATGGTTGGGTTAGCTAGGGAGAACATTACACGCTAAACAAGAAAAAAGGGTGGTCCACTTATTGCTTGAAAATTACATAGATATTATGATACAAACTATTATAAAAAATAACTATTAACAGGACCATACATGTGATCTTTTTGTGGTGAGACATCTAGTGCCTGTTCTTATCCAGGATATCATGGCAGATTCTTTATTGAATTATGTTTTCCGATTATTGAAATTTTGAAATGAATTTTTAGTAAGTTCATAGAAGAAAGCAAATTTCCTTTTGTATGATAAGTAATGTAAGAAATTTTCTTCGCATTCATGTAATGTGAGAGAGAGATTTTGTGTACTGTGCAAGCATATCGATAATGACTTAACAATGTAAAGCCAGTACTGTTTCCTGAATAGCTTAAGAATAAGAAATTAATAGAGAGAATCAGATTGTACTTTACACAGCTACATTTGAATACTCTGTCCACATATTTTATTTGCTTTTTTTTGGTAATTTTTTTTTTTTTTTTTTCCAGATTTTTCAATACTGATTAAGAATTGATATATAGAAAAAGATTCAGAAGTGAAAACGTATCCATCTAATTTCAGATTAGAGAATAATTTAATGAGTCATAACATTAACAACACATTACAACAGGCATAGGCAAAATGGCTTGCCTAGTTATTTGAAAGAACAAATCACAGAAAACACATACAAAAAGGAAAAAGAAAATAATAAGCAAAACAACCAGAAACAATAAGCACATATATGCGTGAGATGACACAACACATAATGAAGAAGAGATCTTGATAAACAACTTCCTAACTGGGACATTGGAAGTTTGGAGGAAGTGTCTTGGCACATGCACTAAGGAGTAAACCGAGTGTAACTGGCACGTCCAAGTTAATTCCAAGCACATTGGCTTTGATGGCAGTGCATAGACACAAAGCAGCTTCCAAATCGGCCAATCCTTTAATCAAAGCACAGCATTTGCTACCAGAAGGAGGGTCTCCAACCACAACGTTAACCAGTCCGAGAAGGTCTACACAAACTCCTAGGTTCAATGTAGGGCAAGATCTCGGAGGCGGTGAGGGCTTGACTGAGGGGTTGCATGAACCACAAGCACTTGTTAATGTTGAGGAAAAAAGCAAAGATAGCACAAAAATAGTGCTGTAGAGCTTGTTGGAAGCCATGGCTAGCTCTAGATTATTGCTACTACACTTACTGGTTTAAGAGCTTGGTGTGGATTTGGTGCAATGGGGAGACAGCTTTTTTAAGGGGAATCCTGAGGTGGCTGTTGGAAGATTGATTGAGTGGCAGAGAGAGAAAAATGTTGATAACGTACTTCGTTGGATTTTTGTTCGCTTGTGACTTGTGAGGAGTATGCTGTACTATGGCATCCAGAGCTATCATGTACAGTACAAAATTGTTTAATATTAACAATTAACAATCACAAAACAATAATACAGAGTGATTTCTCCAATGCTACAGCCACGTCCAATAATTCAGTATGTTTGCTAATCCAATAATTGAATAGTATCATATACTCTTTTTAGTCACTTCAAAATTAACTGATTAATAGTCCCAAAACCTTTATAATTTGCTGTTGATTTAGCTATTAATCAAGCCCTTTTTTTTTAACCCTAAATAGTGGTTGAGGAGGCATTTATGTATAGGTAGCTATATTGAAGCGACATATCAGTATTTTACGAATAGATTCCAAGAGAAGCATGGAGACAAATACTGAAATACTTACCTTCTTTACTGTTCCTTGTTTTTAGCATTGTCCAGTAGAGTGATTTTTTTAGCAGCTAAAAACTATGAGGTCCAGAACGCACGGCTTCAATCACATGGTTTCGGACCTCATTGCCGGCCAGCTAGCTCGTGTGATTGCAATATGTTGTGTCAGCTTCCCCGTAGCTATTAAATAGTCTTGTCGTGATCGCCGGAGGGGTTGTTTTGAGACCATTATCATGTCATCTATGTCTTAATTTCCATCATTATTCAACCAATTATATTATAGGATATGTTTTTCATAGTCTCAAGGAAATTTGGGAATGGTGATGCGTAATTTTATCGTTAATGAATAGGAAAGATTAGACGTTAAAGATATGATCAGTAAATATATATATATATAATATTTTTGTATATTATACCCTAGGATTATCCTTTTAATTGATTAATTTCATCTTCCAAAGGAAGCTTCCTTAATGAAAATGATTTTGGACAAAGAAAGAAAGAAAGGTGCGAGATAATAGGTCAGTTATTGTAAAAGATAAACATAAAATTGGATTTTGAGTGGAGCTTTTCTGATGTGTTGTAAATGGTCCCAAAATGAAAAGGCTTGTAATGGATTTAGATTAGACTTGTGATGAAAAAACTTGCAGAACTTATGCCTGGCGCCCATAACTTCTTCTCTTTAAATATTATGTTATGTCTCAAAATATAATGGTTGATACATGCTGATATCATCAAATACCAATCAAAATTTGAAAAAACATTCCACCGTCCAGAATATACTATTTCTGTAAAGGCAAAAAGAATCTAACTGTCAACAACTCAATCAAGTCAAGAATTTGTACCTCAATGAATTTGGTTTGCACACCTATCCAAGCCCTATTTAATTTAAAGATATTAATTGGGTTCTCAACAAATAGGAAGGCAGGAGGGATCTTCACGGAATCAAACCATTTGTAAAATTGTAATCATGACCTTGAGTAAAACGGGTATAAATAGGCAGCTCCCCCTTACAAAATCGAGATAAGATGCTCACGCATTCAACAAAGAAAATAACAAAGACATATTATTAGAAAGAGATTGACTTGACATTCTCTAAGAACACTTAGAACACTAAACACTTGTGATACCAGATTGCAGTTTGCGACCTCTTGAAAGCCTGTCTAATGATCAGAAACAAATTTATATAAACGAACACAATGAATGTAGGATTTGCTTTAAGCATCTGAACCACTATAAAAATTATCTTGTCAACTTTACATGGCATTGTGCTTGCAACACCTCACCCACTTAATTTAATTAACTCGCGTATAATTTCCCAACACTTTACACATGCGAAATTGTTGGTTTCAAAATCAAGTATCAACATATTAGGATGCGAGTTCAACAGCCATGAAATAATTGGTAGTTGAGCCAGGCAGGAACTTCTTGTTATTCAATACTTTGGTTATGTGTTCGTATTGTCAAAATATTTTCATAACGTTTGCTACGCATAAGGTATTTCAATAATATTCTGTATAAGATTATGGTGCATACTGTTCCGGGATTTGGATACTTGAGGTCAACAGTGTTCGAATCAACAGACGACTTTGATCTTTTTTATTGGTGAGTTTCGGGTATGATTTATCCTCAAAGTCCAAGTTAGTCTTCTTTCTTTTGAAAAGCCAGAGCCCAAAACAACCTGCAAAACCAGCAAGAAAACGTCATTAGGATATTCTCCATACCTTGGGATTTTAGTAGTTGATGACTCTCACCGTCTTACCTCTGTAGAAACGAAAATAATATAGTTACTGAAAGGGGCGTACCAAATTCATGCACTGAATGATGTGGCGTAATCCTGACCGACGATTAATATTAACTCATAATTAATCTATGGTCAGGATTATGTTACGTTATTTGGTGTATGAATTCAGTACGCTTATTTCGATAACTGTAACATTACTCTTGTAAGAAAGAAGAAGACAAAGAGAATGAGTGGGGGATTGTTGCCACTAATTCTGCAATATCCGCATTTAAATTTTAAAACATCTTTCGAAGCTTAAAATCTGTGGCCCAAAGATAAAAACAGGCCCAAACTTGTAGGGATGATTTGTATGTAGGGTTAGAATTTTTTAGCCCATTGTCCAGAAATAGAGATGGATCAGTCATGTTATGGGCGGGAAATGTGTGAAGTTGACCCACCCCAATCAATATCAAACTACTAAAAGAATACCCTTTTTCTTTTCCATAGCTGTAAGCCTATAAGGCTATAACCAACCAAACCCTTTTCAACTAAGCTAACAAATTAACGATAATGGAATAAAAAGAAGGAAACAGAATAATAAATTATAAAAATCCAGATGTACCCTTTTGTTTCTGAATCGTGAAAGAATAATAAATACCAGAATAAACAAACGTGGCTTCCTCTTCCGAACACAACCTTTCCAACTTGATTCAACTTACCTTTCCGCCAAAACAAAAAAAACCAACACAATTACAGTTTAAACCAATTTGATCGGCGACGCGAATAATTGGAGAGAGAATTAGCGCAGATCTACCTCAATCACTCAATCAATTAGAGGGAGGGACCTCTAATTGATCCATCTGCTATCGCAGCGACTGAGATAGATACCTCTTATTGATCCATCCGCTATCGCAGCGACTGAGATAGGTAGAGATGGCGATACTTTACGCTTTAGTGGCTCGAGGGTCGGTGGTGCTGGCGGAGTACAGCGCCACCGCCACCAACGCCAGCACCATCTCCAGACAGATACTCGAGAAGATTCCTGGAAACAATGACAGCCACGTGTCCTATTCTCAAGATCGGTACATCTTTCACGTCAAACGCACCGACGGTCTCACCGTTCTTTGTATGGCTGATGATACCGCCGAAAGTAAGCCTATTTTTCTTGTTTGTTTGAACTTTCGAGATTAATTGCTCCTGAATTCTACTTTTTTTGTGATTGTTAATATTGTGAGGTATCTATGGCTAGGTTTTCACTAGTTCGAATTTTCAATTATTCTCCAAACAAGTTTGGGATATATAAAAGGCTTGTTTTGAATTGTTATATTTGTTTGAAATTTGATAAGATATGATTTATATAGCTGAGTGTTCTTCATGTAATTTGGCATCTTATTCAGTATTCACCAATAACAATAGACGCAAAGCATAACTTATGATGTGTAGATTGTTTAACAGGGGACCAACACATTGGTATAGAGATAGGGAGATTATTTGTTCTACTTGGTTGGCATTAACTCAAGCTGTATACATAAGTGTGATATTTCTGGCTTGAGAAGAAATTACTCAAACAGCTTCTTATTTACAGCATTTCATTCGGTGTATTCTATAATAACTTGTAATGTTTTGTCCAGGAAGAATTCCTTTTGCATTTCTTGAAGACATTCATCAGAGATTTGTAAGGACTTATGGCCGTGCTGTTCATTCAGCACAAGCTTATGGCATGAATGATGAATTTTCAAGGGTATTAAGCCAGCAAATGGAATACTACTCAAATGACCCAAATGCAGATAGGATGAATCGACTAAAAGGTGAAATGAATCAGGTAGGTTTCATAACTTCAATCTAATTATTTTCCAGGAGTGCTGCTAATTAGCTATGGTGTCCAATTGAAATGAATGATCAATATGAAGATGAATTTGGTTATACCCTATTGACACCCATGTTAACAGCTTGTAGTGTTTTGAATTTAATTTTCCTTAACCTATTGTGGTATGTTATAGGTACGAAACGTGATGATAGAGAATATTGACAAAGTTCTAGAGAGAGGTGATCGTTTGGAATTGTTGGTTGATAAAACTGCTAATATGCAAGGAAATACATTCCGCTTCAGAAAACAAGCTCGTCGTTTCAGAAGCACTGTATGGTGGAGAAATGTTAAGCTCACGTATGTCTCTAAACTAGTAGTTTATTTGCATAATAATAACATCAAAAGAGGTGCAAATAATAACATCAAAAGAGGCACTTCACTAGAACTGCTGTGCATATTAGGTGTTTCCTCAAGCTGTCATAGTGTTTGCAATAGATATATTTCTATTTACCTCAAATTAGAAGAGACATACAAAAATGAATAACATTTTGCCCACTAACTGGCTTTGCCTCTTGCAGGGTTGCACTTATTCTGCTTATCCTGGTGATTCTTTATGTTGTTTTGGCTTTCGTTTGTCATGGGCTTACTCTACCTTCCTGCCTAAAGTGACGATTTCCGTTGAGTGAGATTTGAGTGCGTTTCCCATTTTTTTTTTTTTTTTTTTAAATATTTCTTTGTTTCTCCCTCTATGCTGCCCTCTCCTTTTGGGCAAATGGGATTTTTCTATTCCAGCTTCCTCCGCTGTGACTTGTATTAGGTTTTCTTTATGTTATGTGAGTTGTGAAGTTCTCGAAAGCTGTCTTTGAGTGTGCACTTGTGTTACTGTCGAGCATGGAGATTCAAATTAGTTTATATTGTATGGCTTGGTAAAGGTGAAATCTACGAAACTCATATGTGCGGTGTTGACCTTTTTGTGCACTAGTAGATGCCACATCTGGTAATGACAAAACGTTGTCAAATGCTGAATACTGAATTGATCCATTTTCATCAGAATCCGACCATAATTTTATTTGAATTAATAGTAACCCCTGATTGAGAAGGACGGGATGACTGAAAAACCTTAAAAAACTAATTTGAAGGTTATTGCAAAATCATTTTCCAGCAGGTATAATTACATTTATGAATCGTTTTCCTATTATATTAATTACCATTATAATTAAAGCATTTTGGGACTATGATTCTCTGTGAGAGTGAGCAATATAAAGAAGAGAGCTGTAAATTTATCAGAGACCTTTATGCTTGTTGCTAGTTAAAACATTGGATTTGATATAATTTCAACTCTATTACACCACATTGTCCTCTACAAGATTAAATCTGTTCAACAACTCCTCCAATTCATGCAATGCTACCTTATGATGTTCTTGAGATTGTGCCCCTTTTTCCACAACGGGAATGGCACATTTATATAGATGATTATACCAGTAAATTGGATTATGCACATCAACATTACTAACATTACTGAAGCCATCGTCAAGAAGACACCTGCATTTAAAATCCTTACTCCAACGAGGAAGAATATAACGAGAAGGAATTTCTTCAACACCATTATAGTTAAGAACATTCAATGCATGCCTGCACAGATACCCTTTGTAGTTGAACAAACTGCATATACACCGGATATCAATCTGACTCGTCTCATACAAAACCTCGTAATTCCGGACCTCCTTCTTGTTTCCCTCTATTTCAACTCGTTCTTTCACTATGTACGTTATTATTGCTCCACTAGCATCGACTTGTCTTGTGTTAAAGCAAGAGTACATTCCTTCAACTTCGGACTGAAACCTCTTAAAAATTTCTTTTGTATACACTTTAGAGAGCTGCACCTCAAAATTACATCTTGTTTTCAAATCAAAACTTGTACTTCTTGACTCCAGATCTGCCGTGGCTTCTTTCACGTGCTTCCTGTGCAGAGCCAGATCATACTTATCAACAAATTCCTTAAAAGATGTATGTTTATGTACATAACCATCAAAAAATGCATTCAAGCTCTCGTTCTCTTTGACAGGGATCATTCCCGCAAAAAATATGTCCTTCAAGTACACTGGAACCCACCTTTGGCGGTCCTCATACAGTGTCTGCAGCCATTTATTATCCCCAAGCCCGTAGCGCTTGATCATACCAGCCCAGGCAGTTTCAAACTCAGCTATCTTCAAAGACTTATAGATAGCTTTATTCAATTGACTTTTAATTGCTTCATAACCCTTCAATCCTCCCAACTTCTCTGGAACTCTCTGCATGATATACAACATACAATAACAATGACGTGCTTTTGGGAAAACCTCAGAGACAGCACTCTTCAGGGGTTTGCTTTGGTCAGTAATGATAACTTGTGGAGTCCGACCTTGCATGCAGTTAAGCCAAGCCCTGAAGATCCAAACAAAATATTCTACTGACTCATGCCCAAGTAAGCCACATCCCAACAATACATGTTGTCCATGGTGATTCACACCAACAAATGAAATCAGAGGGATTTCATATTTGTTAGCAATGCATGTTGTGTCGATTGCAACTGTGTCACAGAAATGGCCACTGGAGGCCCTGGACCTGGCATCAGCCCAGAACACATTCCTCAAGCAGCCATCATTGTCAAGGTCCATCAAATAAAAGAAGTTTGGATTTGTTAACTTCATTCGACAGAAGTAATTATAAACTGCAAGTGCATCTCCTTCTTTAAGTTCCAAGTGTTTAGAGTGATCAATGGGATTCAAACCCTCTCTTTCATCAATACTAGTAGACCCATTACACCCAGCATCCACAATGGCTGTTCGATACAACTTAATAGTATGCACTTCAGTAACAGGTTTCAGTGGTGGCTGAGCCCTTCTTGCTGCAAGAATCATTCTTTTGTGGGACTTGTAAAACCGTTTTATTTGTGGATTCACAGGATGGTTGTGTTGAAGCTCAACCTCAACTATTCTCCACCTCTTAGAGTCCATGAGTCTAATGACTATCATTGCAGGACAACCAGTTCTTGTCTCCGGTCGTGGATTATTGGCTTCACTTTTTTTCTTGAAACCTGCACTGCTGCAGCTAAGTTTTGCTCTATACCGCTCTTTTCTCTTTGATCTAAACCATGAGTTGCTGACTCTGATGCCGAAACCCTGCTCCTTTGCATAGACATTATAAAAATCATAAGCTTCTTCGAAAGAATCAAATTCCAAACCTATAGTAGGTTGAGGAGGTTCCTTCTTTGCATGAATTTCACCAGCTTCATCATCATGTCCCACTCCAAAGTCTCCATCAGCATCATACTCATCACCCTCATCAAAGACTGGCTCACTGTTGAGACAAACTTCTTCCATCTGGATACAAATTAAAAGGGCACAATAAAATTTCGACGCAGGCAGTTTCTGTCTTGAGCACTAAACATTACCACAAAACTAAGGACAAAATTGACAAGACTAAGAAAACTCCTTACATCATGAACAATGAACAGATCTAACAACTTCCAAAAGAAGTCCACTTCTTGGAAGACAAAATACAATAAAGACAATGTGTGTATGGATACTGCATCAAAAACTGTTGAACCATGGCACTCAAGAATATCTGAAAGTGGGCAATTTAATCTACAGAAACCTAACAATTTCTAATCAGTAAATCCAGTAAGCATATCAACTGGCCCTAAATTGTCAATAGCTTCTTCTAAAGGCTTATTTGCAATCACATTTGGTATCACATGTAACTAAAGCATCATAATATTTTTTTGTGTAAACAGATATTCCTTCAAAAACTCATAAGAGTTCATTTTTATATACAAAAGCAACATGGACTCCAATTCTTTCAGCATTTCACTGGCTCGAATTTATAATTCAACTTTTGATCATAATAATAGTAGAAGTACCATATAAGTGGTAATGATACCTTAACTCCAAACTCTATCACAGTTGATCATGTTGAAGAGATCACCCTGTTGGTTTCTTTAAGAAATTATAACCAAGTTAAAAACTTGGAAAAATTTGAGCACTTAAACAAGCTTAAAACATCCCTCTAATCGAATAAAATGTTATCTCCAACCCTTGTCCAAACCCACCAACACAACAAACTAGTTCAGCAAAGCACATTCATCAGTCTGCTCATACAATTCATAGCCAAAACAAGTAAACAAATTATAATTTATTTTCACAAGTGATAAGACTCGTAAATTTTCATACTTTACTTAAATTTCTAGCTAAAAAGGTCGAACAAGTACTAACTGAAAACTAATAAAATGAAGGCAAGTGTCTTACACATATTAAAAAAGCTTCTGTCAAGGATCGAAATGGAAACCCTAAGTGAAATTATAACTGAGAATTGGAGTTAAAATTTGAAATTGAGAGGTAAATTTTAGACGATCTTACAATGATATACTAAGCCGAGGGACCAGTAGGAGAAGAGATGAGTATCGGAGGCACTGAGTCACTGCTCCGAGTTGGCGTGAAAGAAAAGTGCGAGTCACACTGGGGCTTACAGACGTTTCATAGATCTTTCGACTTATTCTGCTGACACGTGTGGTTTGTGTTGAGTAACATGAGACTACTGTGTTTCCTATTGGTAACAATACCATATATATTTAATAATATTTTTAAAAAGATTTATTAAACCCCTTAATAATTCAAATAATATGCATAAACTACCTTTAATTGTCATATATACTAGAACCTCTATATTATGACCAATTAAATTTAATTTATTACTACGAAGAAATTATAATTAATATATTGTAGTTACAAAAATTATTATTTTTGTTAAAAGTTATTGTTTTGATTTCTTATTTTATAATACATGTTTCAATAGTAAAAACGAATTGAGTAATCAAATTCGACAACATCACTATATTAATGAAATTGATATTAATGTTTTCCTCAACCATCAAAATGAGTAATAAGTCGTTATGTTTTAACTGAAAAAGAAATTATTATTTGAATTAAAAAATGATAAGAAAAATAGATAATCTTGAGAATGATAGAATAAAAATACCAAAAATTTTATGTCAAGAAGCTCTAAACATGTTTGAGAAGCTAGAAGTATTTTAGCTTCAATAAGATGGTGTAAGATAAAAGATATGTCACCGTCCAGAATAATTTTAGATAAATATTTTATTTCATCTTAAACCTTTAATATAACATAGCATATACTGTTTACCATATAATAGAGACGAGTTCTTTAAAACAGAAAAATTATAACTTATTACAATATAAAATTTATTCTTATTTATAACTGGTCTAAGTTAGGATCATAATTTTTTATGATAACACAAAAATTATTCTTATGTAGAGTATCATATAAAGAGGTTATACTTGTGTGTATATATATATATATATAATCCTTAAAAATTATAATTAATTGTTCTTACCCAATCAAAGGGAATAATACTGTTTCTTTACAGCTATATTATAACTTCCATAATTACTAACAGTGCTATTTTTAAGGGTAAAATTTAGGAATTTGTCATTTCGCTAATCTTTGAGTCGGAACATTCCTTTACACTTTTTTTTTTTTTTTTTTTTTTTTTTTTTTTTTTAAACTTTTATTGGGCAAATACTCATTGAGTCATTGTAGTTGGCAGCTAACGATGATGTCCTCAAATCAAGCTCCTTTCTAAAGGGGGCCAAAAAAGCTGTGGCCCGACCCTCCGCTATATAATAATAACCGTTGGATGCGCCCATCGAATTTATTTACGGTTGAAAACTGAAATAGATTTTAGAAAATTTAATCAAAATCAGATTCCTTTTTTTTTTTTACTTTACGATCAAATAACAAGCCGCACGATATGATATGATGGGCCCAATAGAGTTCCGGTAATGCTGACGTGTCTTATGGAAATTGAGGAGACAAAGACGAATATACAGTTTATTAGAGCCTTCACAGTGCAATACCTTGGTCACATGCACTGTGGGCCCAGATGCTCGTGCTGTAAAAGTCCTATAAATAGACGGCGGATACATGAATGCCTACGTTATAAATGCACACTCGTCCGTATAATATCATTAGCAGCTCTTCACACAAAAAGCACAAACTCAAAAGGAAAAAAAAAAAAAAAAAAGAGCAGTGCAGGTTAACTATCATGCGCCCCTGATTGTCCAAGGGCCTCCTGCTCTTACCCTCTAGCCACATAATATCACCCTTTGTTTCTCTCTCTAGAGAACTCTCGTATTTCTCTCTCTGAAAAAATTGATCAAAAACTAAAAAAAATAAACCAGAGAGAACCAAAAAAAACCCTAAAAAAGCAATGAAGCAGAGTTCATCTGAGGTAGTATCATCATCATCATCATCATCAACAGCATCATCTTTATCCGACCACTCACAGCCCGCCACCTCATCCGAAAAACCACAATCATTCTCAGCAGCAACCGGAGGAGTGGAGGACTTATCTACGGGACCAAGGGACGGGAGCGGCGGGGCCCAAGAAACCGTTACTGTCGATCGGCGTGGAGAGTACTCGGCTGTGTGCAGATGGACGGTTCACAATTTCCCTCGAATCAGAGCTAGGGCACTCTGGAGCAAGTACTTCGAGGTAGGCGGTTATGATTGTCGTTTATTAGTTTATCCGAAAGGAGACTCACAAGCTTTGCCTGGCTACATCTCCATATACCTCCAAATCATGGACCCTCGTGGTACTTCTTCTTCCAAATGGGACTGCTTCGCCAGTTACCGCTTAGCGATAGTCAACCTATCAGATGATTCTAAAACTATACATCGTGATTCGTGGCATAGATTCTCTAGCAAAAAGAAATCGCATGGTTGGTGTGACTTCACCCCTTCCTCTACTGTTTTTGATCCCAAATTAGGTTTCTTATTAAATAACGATTCAGTTTTAATCACTGCCGATATTTTGATTTTAAATGAATCTGTTAGTTTCACCCGTGATAATAATGAGTTACAATCACCGTCTATGATATCGTCCTCGGTGGTTGCTGCTCCAGTATCTGATGTATTGAGTGGGAAATTCACCTGGAAAGTGCATAATTTTAGTTTGTTCAAGGAAATGATAAAGACACAGAAGATAATGAGTCCAGTTTTCCCAGCTGGAGAGTGTAATTTGAGGATTAGTGTGTATCAAAGCTCGGTGAATGGGCAGGAATATCTGTCAATGTGTTTGGAGAGTAAGGATATGGAGAAGACGGTGGTGTCAGATAGGAGTTGTTGGTGTTTGTTTAGAATGTCTGTATTGAATCAAAAGCCTGGGTCCAATCACATGCATAGAGACTCATATGGTAGGTTTGCTGCGGATAATAAGAGTGGGGATAATACAAGTTTAGGATGGAATGATTATATGAAGATGGCAGATTTTGTTGGGCCTGAATCAGGGTTTTTGGTGGATGATACTGCAGTGTTTAGTACATCCTTCCATGTGATCAAGGAGTTGAGTAGTTTCTCAAAGAATGGGGCGTTGGTTGGATGGAGGAGTGGCAGTGGGGCGAGGAAGTCTGATGGGCATATGGGGAAGTTTACTTGGAGGATTGAGAATTTCACAAGGTTGAAGGATCTTTTGAAGAAGAGGAAAATTACAGGGCTCTGCATTAAGAGCCGGAGGTTTCAGATTGGAAACCGGGATTGCCGTCTCATTGTTTATCCCAGAGGTATGCAAGACTATTGTGGTAGTTTGTATGTTGTATAACTGTTATCTTTTTATCGTGTCCTTTAATGGATGTTAGTTGGTTGATATGATTGATGTGTTTAATATTAAGTGATGGCCTCTTAATATATGGATAAATAAAGACTAGAGGTTCCTGTATTATTTTTATTGTTGAGGGATGACCCTTTTTCTTTAACTTGTCTGAGCCAGGTTCATAGCTGCTTAGGGTAGTGGTTGGGTGAAATTTTTTCATATGATTCATGGTGTTGGAGCAGTGTAACATGCATTTGGCTCATCATTTGTACCCTGATTCTTGACACTTGCTTACACTGTGCCTAGGAAAGTGTAAGTGATGACAATTTTTCATATGCTAAAATCTTGTTTCTTAGATTCTCCTAAGGAAGTGACTTTCCATCATGCATGGTGTCTTTTCATTAACACTGGGATCGTTGGACTTTAAATCATATGAGCTGGCTTAGTTTGAGCTTGCAAGAATGAACTGATGTAAGTTTCCATTTTATTTAATGGTATCAGGGCAGTCTCAGCCACCATGCCACCTTTCAGTGTTTCTTGAAGTTATGGATTCACGAAATACTTCGAGTGATTGGAGCTGTTTTGTGAGTCATCGATTGTCAGTTGTGAACCAAAGAATGGAGGAGAAATCAGTCACAAAGGAATCTCAGAATCGCTATTCCAAAGCTGCAAAGGATTGGGGTTGGCGTGAATTTGTGACGCTTACAAGTCTCTTTGATCAAGATTCTGGTTTTCTTGTCCAGGACACAGTTGTATTCTCAGCAGAGGTTCTGATTTTGAAAGAGACCTCAATAATGCAGGATTTTACTGATCGGGGTACTGATTCTACCAATGCTTGTACCCAAACTGACAAGGTTGGGAGAAGAAGTTCATTTACTTGGAAGGTGGAAAACTTCTTGTCCTTCAAGGAAATAATGGAAACCCGAAAAATCTTTAGCAAATTCTTTCAAGCTGGTGGATGTGAGCTTCGAATTGGTGGGTGTTTGCTCTTGAGTTCTCTCCACTCTGAATGCAGTTGAAGTTGTTTGCCTTTATTTGACTGATAACTAGTTGCTTCATGATGCAGGTGTGTATGAGTCATTTGACACAATTTGTATATATTTAGAGAGTGATCAGTCTGTTGGTAGTGATCCAGATAAAAACTTTTGGGTCAGATACAGGATGGCTGTGGTGAATCAAAAGAACCCAGCCAAGACTGTTTGGAAGGAGTCTTCTATATGTACAAAGACATGGAATAATTCGGTTTTGCAATTCATGAAGGTGTCTGATATGTTGGAAGCTGATGCAGGCTTTCTGATGCGTGACACTGTTGTTTTTGTTTGTGAGATATTAGATTGCTGCCCTTGGTTTGAGTTTTCAGATCTAGAGGTTAGTAGTTTGGACCTGTTCAATCTAATTGTTATCTGTCATCCTCTATGTGCAAGTTTTGTTTGTTCACTTTTTGGTGTGTTAGGGCCTATATTATTAATAGGCTTTTTGTTGACTTTGGAAAATATTCATTAAATCAATTCCCTTATGAAGCTATTGACTTGGAGATGGGGCTGGTGTTTTTCACAGTTTTCATTTAAACCCTTCCAAATGGTGCCCCATCTATAAATTTGAATAGTTGTATAAAAAAATATGGAAATTTATAAAGAGATATAAATGTCCTCAGTGTATTATACCTGATTAGATTAATTCCTTCATGACAGATTGTAATTACAGAAAAAATTGTTGGCGTATTTCTGTATCTCAACCACATTCTGAAGAAGTTTTTCCAACAACAAACTAGGTGCATACCATGTTTGCTTATGTACATGGGTGTGTTATATTTTCTGTTTATTGTTGTGTACGTTTGTGGTTTCAAGCTTATATTGAATAAATTGTGCTTCATGGATGGTTATAA